AATGTTAAACAGACAATTTCAAGTATTAAATAGCACATACAATCGTTTTATAATAGCATAGATAAGTTAATAGAAATAAGAGACAAATAGCTGAAGAAAGACTAACACTGAAGAAGTAGAACTGAGGTATGAATGGATGAAGAAATGCTGCTAATTTAAAGAAATATATTTTTAGATTTATTTATTTTAAGTGTATAAGTATTTGCCTGTATGTATGTATATGCATAGCACATCTGACTAGGACCTGCAGAAGTCATAAGCATGTGTCAGATCCCCTGGAGTTATGGATAGCTACAAGGTACCATGTAGGTTCTGGAAACAAAAACCAGGTCCTCTGAAAGAGCATCAAGTTTCCTAATCACTGAGCCAACTATCCAGCCTTGGTGTGACTGGTTTTTATGACTTACAGAACTATTTAAAATTTCACATCATACCTATGGATTATACTAAAAACGTTTAAATAGCTTGCATTTTGGATGAGGGGTTTGGAATCAGACATGTGCTTCAAGATTAAGTTTCAAATTGCATTTTATGCTGCTTATAAAGTTAACCTGTCTCCATTTAATGATTCCTGAAAACACAAAATTCCTGAGTCAGAAATAATGGAATTTATTATTAGAGGAAAGCAAGCAGCAAGAATACTTCTGCCATCACCACAAGTCTCACAAAACCAATGTAATGGGTTTGGATGAATGTAAGTGTGCAGCCAGTTATGAGACCACTCTGCTAGACAGGGTTGGAGAATACACGATTTTTAGAGCAAATGGCAAACAAGCCTTCTCTTTTTCTGAGTGAACAATGAAATCCCATGTCAGAATGTTAGCAGATTCTGCAATCCTTAGGCATTTTACAGGTAAAATTCTGGTGTGGTTCTCACTCTTGGTATGAAAAACAAGAGATGTGGGAAGGACTAGGGGCCCAGTGGATACTGACTAATTCTGCCAGCCCTGATTTAGACTCTGCTAGTTACTAGCTGTATTTGAGGCAAGGCTCTTTACTTTTAAAACAACTGATTTTCCTTCTATATATAAAAACAATATTACCAGCTAAATCAAGCCAAAAACAATACATGTAAAACACTTAGCATGGTGTCAGGCATACAGTAGGCCCCAAAGCTTTTAATTTTATCTTTTCAAAAGAGAAAACAAAACAAAGGCAGCCAAAGGGTGATGCTCTTCAGAAAAGATGGAAGCACATGAGAGCCTGTTAAATATTAAACACTGACTGTTCTAATAACACACAAGCAGCATTGCTGCTGATACCACAGAAGCTTCATCCTTTTAAAATGAAATGACAAGAACATTTTATTCAGAGGTATTGCGTACAATGCAGTGACCACAATCTCAAATTTTATTTGAGCCAGATAAAGTTTCTATTTCTATAAAATTTAGTTGTGTAAACAAAAAGTTTCCCTGCATAATATTTATTTTTGAACACTGACAGATACTAATGGATGTAAACAAAAAAGTGACGTATATCAACCTCTTAGGATGTTGTTCATTCATTAGAAAATCTATTTAAAATGCTGATATTTTGGAATATAGCATGAGTATAAACAAATGGGACTGTTTTTGAGATTCATGATTTATTCACGTCAACTTCTCACAGGGCTCATCATAGATGCTGTTGTAATAGGTTGGTTAGATTTATTCTTTTTTAACGATCAGTTTACAAAGAATCCTCCCAGATTTAATTCATAATAACAGTCTCTAATCTCTGTCCTGGTGTTTCTATTCTTGGATCATTTCTTTGTTCCTTATTCCCTATGAAATCATTCATAATCACATACCAAACCACTCAATTATGTAAAATCCCTAGAGAAATTTCCTATGAATTTGGCTGTCTAATCACATCTTTCTAATTACTGTTAAAAGATTATTTATATGTCTTACTTCACATTTAAGAACTAATAGCATATGCTTTGTATCAATTATTGTGTTATGGAAATATATAAAAGTGAAATGACCCAATTCTTTTTGAGTGACGTTCTTAAAGGTTAAGACCTTGGAATCTAGGCTAGACACACCCTTGCCAAGTTGCAAGTTCTGCCTTGTCCATTTTTGTTACATAATTTGAGGCTAGTTGTTTTAACTCCTAAGTTTTCTCACTTAAAGAAAGTGAATATTATTTACCTATCTTATGAGTTTGTACTACAGAGCAGTGATTATTATCTGCAAAATATCTGGACTCCTTTCTACTGCAAAGTAAATACCATGAATGTGTTAATATGGTATTACAGAAACTTGTTCAAAGTTTCTTACAATACTGACCAAGAGACATTGTCTCTTTATGTTATCAAATTATAAAATATTGGGAAATATTGTACTATGTATTTGAGCACAAAAATGTTCACATGCACAAAATTATATACCAATAAAACATAAAAATACTTATTTTGAGTTAAAAAGTTAATACGGAGTCAGAAAACATGTCTAATTTCAAACAGGCATTGGGACAGATACCTCTCTATAAGCAATGCTGCTTTAAAAATGGATAATAATTAAATGTTAAAGAAGCCAATGATTTTCAAAGATGAGTCAGCCTTTTGAAAATGACTATTTCTGTAATCCAAGACTTCTTAGGGGGGCAGTAGGAAGTGCATATCCTGTTTACGTATCTTGTCTCAGAAAGAGGACTTAGTGTCCTCCTTAAACAAGTAATCATTCATTTCCAAAACAGAACATGAGTCATTGCCTCTGTACTTAGCTTAACTTTGATGTGGTCAGAACACATCTTTAATTTGCATGTCGTATTTTGATAAACAAATTAAATATTGCAACCAGCTGGCACTTGTTTGACAATCTGGGTTTTGTTTAATCAATAATATTTTACATTAAATAAAAGAAAGCAAAGTCAAAAAAGTAGGTTTTTATAGGATATGTTTTTGCAACAGGTTTTATGGAAACCTTTTTGCTTTGCCAAATAATTCCTTTGAACTTTTTTCCCCCCTGTATTGGCATTATGTAACGGCTCCTGTCTTAAGCCAGAGAAAGAGCCAGGATATAAATTTGACAACACTTGCATGGTGAGAGTGTGGAGAGGAATATGAGAACACTTTTTGCTTCCTCACAAAAGGTCAGAGCAGTCTGCAAGTCAGCGCCAGAAATTGGCTGGCGAGAGCCTTGGATATTTGGAAAATGAGTGTGCGTGAATTTCAGAATGTGCATGTGTATTCTCTCCGGAGAAACCCTTTCACAAGGCAGGGAACATCTTGTCCACCGAGCTCTAAAACTGCCTTTTGAAGAGAGTATGTGTAAATACACTCTATTACTTAGCATCACTTAACTAGAAAAGACTAGAAAAGGCACAGCTTTTGAATATCAAGCTTTCTGATTATTTTAGCTTGCTAAGGACCCTAACTTAAATGAATTACCCAATAATCCTTCTGGAACTTTTAAAAATCCAGCAGCCCTATTTGTCTAACCATTTATGTCTCCCAGACTCTGCTAATTGGACCTATGTCAGCAAGATAGTCCCTGGAAACTATATGTCATTATAACTTCATGAATATAGGCTATATAAAAATGCTGTTTTCGAGATTATAGCTATATTTGTTAGATTGGTAGTTATTTTTGTTAAACTATAAATAATTCCCATATATGATTTAATTAATTCATCTTTTACCCACGCATTAGAATTTTGAGGAAGGGAAAATGAGGGAGACAACAGTCAATCATTAAAATTTAATAAATATTCAGAATTTCCTATGTGTCAAACACTTATCTAAGAGAAGTCCACACAACAACTCATGATACTACACTTCAATTTTCCAGTAGGTATAGTTGTCATGATTTTAGAGATGAGAAAGCTATTGTTGAGGGAGGTTAGACTAATATACCTTAGATCACAAAGCTCACATAAACTCTCCCCTTGGCATGCTCACTAGTACAATGGACTTTGTTGAAGAAATTAATCAAAGTAGCTGAGTAAAATTTCCCACAAAGAACTTTGAAGAATATTAACTATGCATCAGGACCTCTCTTTTTTTCTCCCTCCCAGTTTCACATGATACAAATTTTGGGAAAAAAAAATGGGAGATACCTCAGTAATGTAGTTTCAATATATACATACATGTTTCAACATGTATACAACGTGGAATGTATGTTTATATACATATATGCGTTCGTACACACACACAAATACATATATTTGTAAGGCTCATATGGAACATACTTGTTAAGTCTCTGGGAGTGCAGGAGGTCTCTTTGCAAGGGCAGGATGCTAGTATAGACCTTTTACATTTCCTTCCTGTGAATAAAAACCAGAATATGGTTTGGTGAGCATAATACTATGCCATGATACTATAGAACTATTTCCTGACTCCTATGGGACCTGAGGGGATGTCTAAGCCAGAGACAGGAGACACTACTTACTCTGCTAACAAACATTCAAGCTCTTCAGATTTGCTGTGCTCAATGACACTCTATTCACCAACAAGTCAAGTTGTTCAGATTTTCTATACTCACTGCCCCTCCAGGCACTGCCACTTTCCCAGAGAGAGCTGTGAAAGTGACCAGAACTGTCATATCGGATTATTTCTCCATACCCCATTTTTCCACATTTAGAACTTTACTTTCCTGTATACACTGACCTCTTAACTTTCAGTAATATGATTTTAAATGAAATGCACCTTTTGACATTTGGTAATCTGCAGAATCCACATTTAGTTTTATGTTCTGGGCACCACTTTTGGGAAAAAATGCCTGTCTTCTAGGCATTTCTACTCAACTCTAAGGGGGAAATTAATGAACAAATAAATAAGTAAACATGCAGAATGTTATATTTGCAATGATACTTCAGTATCTTTCCTGCCTCCAAAAGAACTGATTAATTTATAAATACATAGCCATGCCAGAATGAATAACATTCTGAAACTGAAGAAAATTTCATTTGCACAGATTTCGTCACTCAACATAAAAATTGTCGTCTCTGGGCAATAGAATATTCATGTGTCAGTGGGAAAGAGTCGACCTTTAACAGAATTCCTTTTATCCTTTCAGATTGACATTAACCCTGTCCTGTCCGATGGATCTCAAGAATTTCCCAATGGATGTACAAACCTGCATAATGCAGCTGGAAAGCTGTGAGTATGAGTGACTGGCATTTGCCTGAGCATTTGTATAAATGCAGGAGATGGACGGGTTAGTGGTAAGACAGGCCATTGATTTTGTACTTTGCCGGGGACATGTTTATTGAATAAACAAAAGTAAAATGGGCACATCATTGAAAGCAGGTGTCATCTATATTTGCTGAAAGCCTTCCAAGGCCCAGACATTTCCTCCGTGTCCCCTCATAGTTGCCACAAAGCAAAGTATCCCCGTGTTTTCAGTAGTGAAAATAATACTTTCAAGTGTTGTAATGTGCATACAGTCAGAGTTGATGGAAACTAGCAGCCTGGATCCATGCTTTATGGTTTCCATTAATCAGTGTTTGGTAGTTTAGCTGAGTGTGCTGTGTGCGTCACATCAGAAGAAAGGGCTTTTGAATGTATCATACTCGCCAGAGCTTTTAGATTTCCTCCAAATGTCTCCCAAATGGACACATGCATGTCAGCTAACATAAAGCAACATGCCAGGTGCATGTTTTAGGAAATATTTCTATGATAATATGTGATATATAATAGTATATGAATAAAAATATGTATATAGTGATTATTATATACATAGTAAAACAGTTTACGGTATTTAATCAAAGGGAACTAGTAGCAAACATATAATTTATTTATATGTATATGTAGTATATTTTCAAGAAAACTCTAATTTAAAATCTTTCCTTAAGGAAATTGGAAAATTTATCTGCAGACTTCAGGGTCTGACGGGCATAATTGTAGTGAGGTAGAGTTGTCACTAGATGGCGTAGAAAACTCATGGGGGAAAATGGCACAACCCTTGTATCCCCAGCCAGCACTGTTTTTCTTCAGGACATTTAAACATCTATTTCTCTGATAATAACTCTGATCTTTACATTTTAAGTGGTTTATTCTGTAAGTGTCTCTTAAATATTAACCACAGGTATGGATAAAATGCCATAGTAGTTGAAAGGAAAATAAAGCAATCTGAAATTGGGATATTGAGACATTCACTAATACAAGTGGGGCAACGCATAATGAAAAATGCCTAGCAGTACATTCTTTGGAGTCTGTACAACCAGGAAGATCAACCTGAGGGCACTTGGCTGTGTATCTTGCTCAATGTTAGGACATAGAGAAACAATATGCACGCAGATGCGCGCACGCACACACACACACACACACACACACACACACACACATAAATTGGCAAAGCAGGCCACAGGACAAAACAGCTCATTGGTGCCATGTTTACTGTTTGCTATTCAGAGGACAGAGACAAACTGTCCAAACTTTAAGGAACAAAGAAATTATTTGGTATTTATTGATTGATTTGCTTATTTATTTATTGCACACGTGTGTTACGCCCAAATCCACGAAGTCCCCCAAAAGCCAACAAGGAGACCAAATTCCATATATAAAAGCAAAGAGCCTTTATTTTATGCAAGTTTGCAAACTTGATCTCTCCATATTGGAATAAATGGAGAACCCTGAGCTCAGTTAGAGTTGGGTTTTTATAGTAGTAAAAGTGAGGGTGAGGGGTTTCTGAGGTTTACGACCCCTAATTGGCTGACATTTGTCAAAGGTGTCCTGGTGAGTGTGTGCTGGCAGGTGATCCTATCTACAATGGTTGGAACCATAAGGCATTTCCTTTAGATGGTCTGTTCTGGGGTGGTGTTTGGGTAATCTCAGTTTGTGGTTCTTCCTTCAACCAGGTATTGCTTCAGGGTAAACTACTGAGACTCAGGCTTCCATTAAACTTACTGATGGCTGAGTCCTACTCTAGCAGGTGATAATGGTTGGAAGTAAAGAACTTCCTTTAGGTGGTCCGTTTCTATTTAGCTTGTCACAGATGGCTCCTACAGCTTGTGCACTCCTGTTCCTGTGCAAACACACATGTCAAGGTGCACATGTACATGTGAGTATGTACATGTGGAGACCAGAAACATCAGGTGTCTTCTCCAATTGTTTCTCTACTTTATTTCTTACTTATTTCTACATAGGAGCTCACTGTCCTGGCTGCTGGGAATCCAAAATACTTTAGAGATCCCTGTCTCTGCCTCTCAGCACTGTGCTTGAAGGCACACTCAGATTTTTATGAGGGTTTGAGTAATAAAATCAGGTCTTTGCTTTTGCATACCAAGTACTTTAACAATGGAGCCATGTACTGACATCAAATGCTTTACCTCAAAGATTGTTTTACCAGGGATCCAGGATTATGCAATAAGTTTCATAACATTAAGAACAGGAATAGAAAATAGGGACGAAGCAGGACATTGTGGTTCAGGAATGTGATTTTAGGTATTTTGAAGGCTGAGGACTGAGTACCATGAGTTCTAGGCCATCCTGAGCTACTTAGTGAATTCTTTAGGCCTTATGACATCACTTAGTGGTAGACAGAGCATTTGCTTAGCATGTTCAAAGACATCCTAGGTATAAGCCCCCATAATCTCCCCCACAAATAAAAGAAGAAAAATTAAAACAAGAGACAAAGGAAAGTGAACGGGAAAGGATGTGGAGGTAAAGGTTCTAGGTATGTGAGTCAAAGCTAAAACAATCATAGAAGTAGGATTATATCACACACAGTAAAATACAACTGGAATATATTGAAAGGAAATATTTATAAGACTTCTAATAAATGCAATATTAGCATATTTGTGGTTTGGGTTATTTCTATCTATAGTCAAAGGGAATTACTACTAAAGCTCCTTTAACAAATGCTGTGAGAATCTTGCACAAAAATGGCGGCTGTCAGAGAATGGACCTGAGAGGAAAAGATATCCAGGAAGTATATTTTCAGAAAACTAGAAATGACACATATATCTAAAAGTCTGTATTCATGGTACTAAAATTATAGGCTATACACAGCACAGGTCTACACAGTATTAGTTTATGGGCCTTCAGATTCCACTATATGATCTCTTTTAAAATAATTTGTCAAACATTAAGCTGTCCTTTCAAAAGACATTTTTATTGATACAGTTTTATTTAAAAATTATTTTCTATGAAATGTATTTGTAAATTACTTTGTATTGACATGGGATAACTGACCCGCAAACAAAGATCTATGATGATTTAAGTTCTATTCCTAAATAATTTATATTACAAAGAGATATGCAGCAGTAGTGCTAAGAAAGGGTCCTGTATTTGATTTCTAGCTTTTTATTCATATCATGAAAACATTTGTAAATTTGCCTCTCCTATTAGCCAGTTGTCCGACAATGATGACAGCATCCTTAATTATCATTGTAGCAGCAAAACTTTAATTCTGTGATTCATTTCTAAAGAATAGCACAGACAACATAAGGAAAAGAGATTGATAAATAATATTTACATAAATCTCAACTGGTGACAGAAAAGTAAAATTGAAGAAAGCCAGTTGCCCCAATCAGTCTTAAAAACATACATATATGATAAAAGTAACATTATATTGATTCAACATGTTGTATCTAGTAATACACACACACACACACACACACACACACACACAAATACACAAATGCATGTGACAACAATTAATGAAAAAAAGAGGCCAGGAATTTGAGATGCAAATGGGGGGCTTGGAAGGGAAGAGAGAAATATTGCACCTGAATTATAGCCTCAAAAATAAACAATGACACAGGCAAAAGAATAAGGAAATACAGTTTTTCTCAAGCATTGCCCTTAATCACTAAAAAATATTTGTGAAAAGGTGGACAGGGCTTGAGGAACAATTTAGAGAAAATGGAAAATCTTTGAAATATACTTTAATAGTATTTGGGGATAGAGATGTCTAAAAATAGACTATGCTTTTGTGCAGGTTTGGGATAGAGCTTCTAAATGTGGAAGGGTTTATTATTGACATTTTCACATTGATTTTATAGTCAGGTCTGATATACAGATTGCTTATTCTGGATATTATGTTACTTAGTTATAAAAATAATAAAGCTTGTGAGGTATTTTTTGCAATTATGTCCTAGTAATTTCTACCGCTATCCAAACGTTCTCATAATTTAAGAGTTTGGATTAGGTTCAGGGTAGCGTTGTACTTTTTGTTTGCTTTCTCAGATACAGATGGTTCTTGTTTCCAGACTATTTGTTATGCAATCTCTGTAGATGTAGTGTGAGTGAAGAGGAAAAAAGCTCTCTCAAGAGAAAAGTATTGGCAGGTGAATGGATTACTGGTAAAAAATAAATTCCAATTTGAACCTTAATGATCCCACCCCTCACAATAACCATGACTCTTACCTCCTCTTTACTTCACATCTTTCTAAATTGGAGTTTCCTATTACCAGATCTTTAAAACATATGACAATAAAAATGAGATGCAGCCACCATCTTATAAAGTGATTATGTCACAAATAGTATTATGATTTTATACCTTTTAAATATATTACCTCCTTTAATCCTAACCACAACTTAATCAAATAAGTTTATTTCCATCTTAAAGATAAGCCTAAAGATATTGTCTTTCCCAATGGCATAGAACAATGAAATAAACAGAGCAATTTATGATTTAGTAACTGTCAAGACATGCAAACATCAGTAACATTTAGGTCTATCTGGAGAGTTCTATTTGTAAATCATCCCTATGACAGCCATACGTTTTCTCCACAAGCTAACGATACCCAATACTTGCAAGAAAAAGTTGGTTTATGTTTTTTTTTTCTATTTCCTCTCTTCCTGACTATTTTACCGAGCATTAACATTGGCTTCAACCTCAAAGTAGGCACTCCCTGCCAGGGGCATAGTCAATAATTTGTCCTATGAACATCAGCCAGCAGCAAACCACTTTTGAGTAGGACTACAATTCAACCAATAAAATACCACAAACAAGTTCTATATCTCCCATCCTATATCTGTCCGTGTTGCTTACTTGAATAAATACCAAATCACTACTCTTTCCTTTAGTTAAATATTGTGTTGTTGGGCTAGCCCGTTATCCAGAAGTGACTAATCATCCAGCAATATGAACCACACACCATTACGCATTTCCCAAAGAAAAAGCCTTAGAAAACTTGGCAACAGTATACTAC